AGAGAAACTTGTGAAGATGATCACAAGTAAAAGGGATAATGTTAATATGAGAGAATAGAATGAATTTATGGGGATGGATATCACTCATGCAGCTTCACCTTCATTGTCTTAATCTATGGCCTATCAAGGATATCCAACAATAATAGATACTCTTTCCCACAGTTCCACACTATATAAATATAACTTATTTCACAAGTAATTCACTTGCGAAAAAAATTGATGACTTCTCTCTCCAATGATCAATGTTTTTAAATAGTCTATATATCATTCTGCCTTTTGGATAAAATAGGACAGAAAAGCAGCAAAGCAAGTATCAATCACATTTTAGTTTTCCCTGTAACATAGATACTCGTCTTTTTATTACTACTACTAATAGAAGAGTTGGTGGAATTTATCTTTAAAAACAAGGATAACTTCAAAACCAAATCTATTTGGACTGTGTGATATGAGCACTGATGCTTACCCTTTAAAACAGAACACAAACTTCAGCAAATGAGAAAGGTTAAAGGGAAAAGCATTATAATTTAAAATGTGAAACTAGACAGGAATAGAAATCCATACTCAGGAGCCATCAGAAGCTTTCCTAATGGATGTCAATAAATGCACGATCAGAATACTAATTACAAGAAATTCTCAATATTATCATTAAACTTTAGATTCCTTCTTTAATTTAAATTTCAAACTTTTCAACATTTACTTATTATTATTTATTGTTACAGAGCCTGGTCCAACCATATAAAAAACTGAATTCAACAACAAAAGTCCTTCCATTGATTAGATTATGTTTGTCTGACTGAAATAAAAAACCCAACGATACCACATCACAGTAATTATATTCTCTCTGAACTCAGACTTCTATGACAAAGTAATAGACATCAAAATCCAGTGGGATGTAAGATGATAGCGTAAACAAATCCAAATCTGTGTTTTTTATAAGAAAAAAAAGTTATCCTATTAAATTTACCTAAACAAGAGAGAAGAATCGAGTGTAAAATAGATAAGGACACCATATTTTAAAACCAAAATAAGGACAGAAGTTATTTTGGGCAATATACTCTTTTTCTTCTTCATTGATAAATTGTTGAATATTGCTAACCATATCCTGGGCTGTATCAAAAGAAGCCTGGCCAGCAGGTTGGGGTAGGTGATTTCTGCCTCTCTGCTCCACCCTCATGAGACCCTACCTGGAGTACTGTGTCCAGCTCTGGCACCCCCAACATAAGGACCTGTTGAGGTGGGTCCAGAGGAGGCCACAGAGATAATCAGAGGGTGGAGCACCTCTCCTACCAAGACAGGCTGGAGAAGAGAAGGCTCTGGGGAGACCTTAGAACAGCCTTCCAGTACCTCAAAAGAGAGACTTTTCACACACAAGGGACAAGGGGGAATGGCTTCAAATTGAAAGAGAAGTTTAGATTAGATATGAGGAAGAAATTCTTTGCTGTGAGGGTGGTAAGAAACAGGTTGCCCAGAAAAGTTGTGGATGACCCATCCCTGGAAGTGGTCAAAGCCAGGTTGGATGGGACTTTGAGCATCCTGGTCTATGCTCAACATACGTGGCAGGTGCATGTATCCAAGGTACATGGCAGGAGGGTTGGAACTAGGTGATCTTTAAGGTCCCTTCCCACACAAACCATTATATGATTCTATAAACCCTCAGCACAGTTAAAGAGGACACCAATAATCCCTTCTTGCTGAAACACGGTAACATGTTCAGTATTCCTTATTCAGGTAATGAATATTGGAGATGTCAGAAAAACCAGCACTGAAAGCATTGAAAGCCTATTGATTTTTTTATCATAGTTGAAACATTGTAGAACACCAACAAAGCAGAATAAATATATCTGGAAACCTTTCATTTTTATTTATTTTTCACGTAGGAACATGTTTATTGCTGTTCCTTTTATAGATTTTCGCTGCAAAAACATCTGTGAATTTTAGTTCCCTCATCTAACAGAGTAAAATGCTTTGAGTGTTTTCTGGTTTTCTTTTTAATGTGTTATAAATATAAAAGTCTGCTTTTGCTTTTTGAGACCATTTATAGGCTGATGCATGGTAGAAAGACTGTCAAAACATGTACAATTTCTTTAGAAGAGAAACACACTACAAGTTGTGAAAGCCTGAATGAACTGTAGGCTGTATCAGAACAGGATAGAGTGGAAGCTTTATCCTAAAGGAAGATCTTATCAAAAGAAGTAACAAAAATATTTGAAAGGCACAGGACATGTGCGCCATCACACCCTAAAAAACCCCACAACAAACTCCCCTTCCCCCCTCAAAAAAAACCAAACCAACAAAAAAAACCAAACCCTAAAAGTCAGAAATTATATGGACTGCAGCAAAATTTCAATTAAATATTTGAGACCAAAGAAATCGGAAAAATGCAATTTTCAGACACTAACTTTCAGTATCTAACAGGGCAGCAATAGTAAATAGGGGCAAATTAACTGTTTTTAAAGCCAGCAAAAGAGGACCTTCTTAGACCGGCTGAAATAGATAATTATGATGCAATAACATCATTCCTCTGATTTCCTTTGATGTAAATGTTCTAGCAAGACAAAAGCCCTGAAGAAAACACCAATCATGCCTCTATAAATACACAAAACTTCTCAAATTCAGGCAGGGTGGTTATATGGCTACAGTCTAAAAAAATTCAATTTTTTTTCAAGTGCTCTTCTTTGCAACAAACAAAATACCTAATGAAGTAAAAGAAATGTGACAAAATGTAAGCATAAAATAATAGCTTTTAAGAATTTTCTTTGTGTTTAGAAAGAATTTTTCTCCATTTTAAAGAAGGTGGAATGCTGACAGTGAAAAATCTATGCACAACTCAGCTCTTATCTCACCATTAAAGGATCAGTGATGTAAACCAAATACTGCTTAACCTTCTTCTTCATGATCCATATTTTTTGCACTATACAGAAGGGCAATATATCTGCTAACTCCTGTACACTCCTTCTATATAAAAGCCAGCAGCAATATTCCTCAGTACCCTTTAAGAACAAGCAGTGAATTTATCATATCTGCTTGTAATGCCCTTTGGGACTCTTCAGGAAGAAAGGCACAGTAAATGTAAGCTCATTAGCATCATTAACTCCTTTTATACACCAGCTGAGCTCAGAAGGAACAAATGGGAGAAAAAATATAAGGGCAAAAAAGGTTAAATATATTTGCCATTCTCTTCCCGGTAGGTACTGTTAGTTTTTAACATTCATAGATACCTTTATTAGATGAAACTTATTTATTAGGAAGTTTTAAAATTAGCTTGATCATTTGCTTCCATGAGATGACTCTTACGTTGCTAAGGAAGAAGAAGAAAATGGCTTGACTTATGTTAAGGGGCATGCAACACAGCAGTGCCTAACTTATTACCAGTTCTCCTAAGACTTAAGGTTCCCACAGGTACACCTCACCTACATGTGTGAGAGAACAGTCTGAGGAAAATGAAAAACTTTTGGTTTGTCCTGTTTGTGTGTTTTCTGGGTTACTGTCATGGCCAGGAATGACACTTGGAGTTGAACGGGACAGGACTCACCAGCTTTAGCCATTGAAAGATCACATTTTTCATCCAAAATAATTTTCTAAGCTCCTCCTAGCATAAACATGTCTGAGTAGCACCTGCAGTTAGGATTTTATACCACACATTGGACATCACTATCAGATAAATGGCCTCAGAAGACACTTTTCTCTCTCTGTTGACAGCAAGGCCAGCCCAGTGAGTACCTTCATGTACAGCCTACCTCTCCGACAGCTAGGTGAACTTGTACAGCTATATTTTTAATATCATCAAGAATTAACAATTCATACAAAAGAATCCTTCTTACACTACAGTTTGATTCAATCTCACTAAGAAAAAATGGTACTAATCTTGCGTCTGTTGTTGCAGCCAAGAGACTGGGTTTATGTGTATATGAGACATGTATTTTCTGTTACTGTTGATTTCCATAATTTTCTTTGTTGATCATTAATACAAAAAAGATAGGGCCCCAACCTGCAAGCACATCTCAGGTCCTTGGGATCTCAAGATTTTAGAAACTGGCCCACAAGAATTTACAGGACTATTAGATCCACAGTCCTGATTTCAGTCCCTAAACCAGGGAGCTCTGGCATCTTTTACTAAATTTCTGATCTTTACATCAAATGGGTTAAGCTTGAGGGGGGAAAGAATGCTTCTCAAACTGCTTTATGGGAAACGTTTTAAACTTTTCAACTGGTTGGGCATAAGTTGCAAGAAAATTCTTAAAAATGGAAACAAAGGCGATGGAGAATCCTTAACGGTACTTCTATAATATTTACTTGCATGTTCAGCAAGCTGTCACCTGAATGAAGTAAAAATCAGAGGAACAAGAGGAAGTTTATCTGACTGTATAAAGCCAAGAAACAAAACCACACACAAACGTCCAAAGCAGGAGAGAAATCCGTGGAGACGCTTCTGATGCTGTTCTGCTGCGGGCCGATGTTTCCTTCAGCTCCGCCTGGTGCTTCATGTTGCGCTCTCACCCGCCGCCTTCCTCCCTCGCTCGTCGTGGCCTCTGCCCCTGCAGCGCGGCTCCTATGCCGTCCCGACGCCGACAGCTTCCCACACTGCCTCCCACCCATCCACCCACCCACCCACCCGCAATTTGTGCAGGGCCCAGACTCCCGGTACCGTCGCAGGGCGCTCCGCTCTCCTATCGCTCTCCTCGGCCCCGCTGGCACCCGCGGGCCGAGGTGGGCAGCCAGACCCTGACACCGGGGCGAGCCGGCAGAGACACAGCGGGCCGACAGCAGGGTCTCACGGACCGGCTCCGGGGGCGGGCGGGGCGGGAAGGGCACGGCTGGCCCGGCCCCGGCCCCTCCCCTCGCCCCGGCTCCCCCGGCGGGCGGGCGGCGCCTCGGCCCCGCGGCGCCGCTGGGCGGCGCTTGCGCACTGCGGAGGCCGCCCTGCCTGCCCGCCTCCCCGGCGCGCCCCGGGAGCCGCGGCGGAGCCTCACCGGGCTGAGCGGGGCCGTGGCCGCGGGGAGCCGGAGCAGAGCCTGCTGCAGACAAGCCTCTGCCTTCCCGGGCGGCCGTGGCTGCCGCCCCGCTTCTCCTGTTGCCCGCACGACTGGGAGGCAGGAGCAGCCCCGAGGGGTCGGTCCCGATGCTGCGCCTTCCCGGCGCTGGCAGCAACTTTGCCGCTCCGGCCGCGCTCGCTGCTCCCTGCCGCCGTGCGAGCGTTCGGAGGGTGCAGTGACCGATCCCAGCAAGAGTTTTGCAAAGCTCTGATATACCCTGAGCTGCGCGCAACAACCCGTGTTCTCCGAGGTGCTGGAGAGAAGGAATTATGTGTTCGCGACCGCCCGGCGAGGGGAGGTGTCTTCCTCAAGGGACCTTTCCTCACCCATAGAGCTGCCGGCTGCCCGCGACGGCGGGAGGACGCAAATGGGCAGAACGAGGCCGGTGTGGCTGCTGGCGAGGAGGCAGCGGTCCCGGGAAAGGGCGGAGCGCCGGGGGGGGGTCCTCCCGGCGCTGCACTTGCCACATTAACTCGGCGCGTCGGAGACGGCGACACAACTTTCTGGGTCTGCCCCGGGTGGCGGCGAGAAGAGCCTCTTCGCTGCTCTGCTCGCCGCACCCCCAGCGGACCCCGGCGGCAGCGGGAGCCGCGCTCCGGCGGCAGCAGAGTCGCGGTTGCTCCCGCTCTGGCCCCGGCGAGGAGGGCTGTCCCCGGGAGCCGGGCGGGCATGTCTTTCGCTTCCAGCCCCGCTGAGCGGGGCGCACGCCGCCTCTGAAGGGGAGCGTGTGAGCCCCGCCGCCTCCCGGCCATGCGGCCCCTCCGCGCTCCCCTCGCCTTGCTCTGCCAGGTGCTGAGCGCCTGGGCTGCCTGCGCCCTCGCCCCGGCTCCCGTCGCGGCCGCCGGGCCGCCGGCGCCCCCGCAGCGCGCCCGCTCGCAGCCAGCCCCGACGCCCCTCGCCCCGGGCCGGCGGGCGGCCGCGGCGCTCCCGGGGCGCGGAGCGCTCCCTCCCGGGGCCGGCGGAGCGGCGGGACCGGGCGGCAGCTGCGCTCCCCACGGGGCGGCGGGGGCCGGGCGGCGGCGGGCGCGGAGCAGCGATCCCGGAGCCGGCGCGGCGGCGGGGAGGGGCGGGGCGGGCGGGCCCCGCTGGCTGCCCCTGAACGGTTCGGCAGGCGGCGAGGGCAGCGCCGGGGGCCGCGGGAACGCCACGGGGCGCCGCGCCCGCCTCCGCAACCCCTTCTACCCGCTGACCGAGGAGTCCTACGGCGCCTACGCCGTCATGTGCCTCTCCATAGTGATCTTCGGCATCGGCATCATGGGCAACATGGCAGTGATGTGCATCGTCTGCCACAACTACTACATGCGGAGCATCTCCAACTCTCTGCTGGCCAACCTGGCCTTCTGGGACTTCCTCATCGTCTTCTTCTGCCTGCCGCTGGTCATCTTCCAGGAGCTCACCAAGAAGTGGCTCCTAGAGGACTTCTCCTGCAAAATCGTCCCGTACATCGAGGTAATGTGGGTGGGGATGCGCGGCCCCGGGCGTTTTCGCGCAGTCCCCGGGCGGACTGGCCGCGCTGGCCCGCACGAGGGAACGCGAGTCCCGAGCTCCTCTCTCCGCTGCTCCCTCGCCGCAAGCCTGACCTGTCGGTCATTGCTGTCGGCCCGGGGACGTCTCAGTGCGGCGTGGTCTGGGTTTCACGGGCGCTCCTGCGGCAGAGCGGGGCCCCGGCACGGCCCCGCAGTCATCGGAGGCGGCAGTGGCCGCCGCGGTCCAACGGCACCGGGATTTCTGTGGCTCAAGCTGAGCGCGTCCAGCGCTTCCTGACACTCGCGAGAGTTCTGCCAAACTTTCCTTGCTCCCAGTGATCCTGTAAGGCGTCCTCTCAGAATTAGGAGGAATTTCAACTTTTTTGCTTTGCTGTTTTCCTAAAGTCGAGTGAATCAGGAAAGCGGATGGAGGGAATGAGTGGAGTAGCTTGTAAGAAAGTGATTGTAAAAAGCACCATCAGCAGGATGTATGGGCTCTTAATTTATATTTCAGCGTTCAAATCGCACATTTATTTAGCTTTTTCTTTTTCTTTTTTTTTTTTTTTCTCTTCTCTTTAAAAAAAATACCTCAGCTCCATTTAAACTGCAGCTTCTTGGCAGTTATTCAAAGGCTCTGTCAGAGAAGCTCCCAGACAGCTGGCCGGAGTCCTGCCGGCAGCGCTCAGGTTGTCTGCTTTATTTACTGGAACTGAACACTAAGGCTTGTTGGTAGGATGGTAGCCTGTAGTTCTGGTTGGCTCTGCTGTATTCCCAAAACCTTATGTTCAACATTATTCTGTAACTGAAAGCTGATGAAATAACTGTTGATCCTCTTGTCCTAAAAATGAGATATTAGAGAAAAAACAAACAAAAACCTAGACAAAAAGTCAACACCCCATCCTCCAAAAAATGAATAACGCAACCTAGTATTAATACAGAGTATCAGTTTCAGCAGAACATTGTTACAGAGTAACACACAGTTAACTTTCAAGTGGTATTTTTAAGAAAGTGTTGAGAAAGATGACCTGTGTAGCCACTAAATTGTCATTGCTTCTTTCATACGTGATCCAGTTATTACTGGTGATATTGAACAAAGGGTGGAGCTGTGCTACGCTTAGATGAATTCTAGGCTGGTAGTATACCACTGAGTTTGAAAAACTCAGAGTACACTTGATTTGCATTTAAGAAGACGTGATGCAGTAAATATGTGTTTATTGAGAAACTGAAAGGAGCTTCTAAAATTTCTGAATTGGATTAGTGGTGTTTCAAGAGTAACCATTTCAATTACAGTAGATACAGTAGTTTGCGTGTCAAGGACTTTCCTACAGCCACATTTCACGCTTTCTAACATTTTTTGGTGCATCCACATGCAAAATAGAAGTAATTCTTTGTAATGCCCATTCTAATTAAAGATCAGTAATTTAAATGATTTGCATGACCACACTGTTCTTCAAACTTAGTTGCTTATGCTGTGCCTGGCTTTGGGCAGTAGAGAGTTTGTCAAACTGAAAGCAGTTTAGCTGAAATGTAGTTGCTGAAATTCAAAACTGTAATCCTGAAAAATGTTCATCTGCTACTGTGTCCCTTTATACTTCAATATAACCTTATTTTTTCACTTAAAAGTTCTGTAGATGTCTAGAGTTAAAGTCTTATTCATGAACTGGCACTAGTCCAGTTGGGATGGACCAGTAGCTTGGTCTCTGTCTTAGGCTTAATTATTACTGGTGTCCCTAAGGTAGTATAATTAACGTAGATCTAAGGTGCAGATATAAAAAGATACAGCCTTGGGGTTCTGCGTTGCTCCCAGAATTGTATATTTTTTATTCAGTGGTCATTAAATATAATATGTATGTAAAGTATATTCATCACCTCAGAAAGTGTACGTAAAAGGCTGGATTTCCCCCTCTATAAATTGTAAGAATGAGTGGCAGATACTGAATGCTACTAGTGGATCATGACTCTTCTTGGTTTGCCTTGAGCTTGGCAAGAAGGAAACTCTCCTGTAAATCAGAATTTGACCCTGCTGAGGCAGAGAAGGCAGTTAGAGCAAAGGTTCACCACTTTCCAAGTGTTTTCTAACCTCACAGGCATTACACAGTGACACTGACACCACCAGGAGCAATGTAGATGGGGAACATGTCATGAAATCCACCCATGTATATGAGCAGCTGCTGTTCCTTGCTCTGGATTGTTCACAGGAGTACACTCATCTGGCAGCTGAACAACACTGTCTTTTCCCTTGTAACTCACCTGGGCAGGCTCATCCCCTTCTCACACAATGGGAGAAAGATGAAAGGAAAGCTGTAGACAGCTATCTTCAGGAGAGGTTTCCAGACCTTCGTGAAATACAAATAGAAGCATATTCCTGCAGATGGACGAATTTTAAGCTGTCTGTGTTTTCTCTAAGTTTGCCTAGTGCTTGGTTCTTTTAAGTGTCTCTTAGTTCCGTGATTTGCATCTCTTTTTGTTACACATCAGTTTGCCTCATCCACTGTTTAGTGAGCTGTATGTCTCACCCAGATTTGTATATCCAGAAATATCTTACTTTCAAGCATCAAAGACCCTTATTGGCTTGAGCCCTCTGTCATACCAGCTTGTACTTTCAGAACTAGGGAACAGGGGATGTCTGATTATCCAGATCAAGGGATGCAGTGATCACAGCATTTTAACATAATTCAGGCATGCTTTGTTTTATGTCAAAGGTTTCAAGTGATTCCGGTGAGATACCTTGAGTTTTCTTTGTTTAAACCTCTTGAGACCAATTGGTTTTTATTTGTGCTGTTTAATGGGTACTGTGCAGAATTTCAACAAAGCATCTGTTGCCAATGATAACACATATGCACACACAGTCTGGGGAAAATGTTTTATGGTATCTTCATGTACATTTGTATAGGTAAAAGTTGAGTTTCCGGCAGTGGAAGGTCTCCACAATATTTAATTTAAAGCGCAGTTTTCCTATACCTAATAAAGATCTGTGACAAGTGCATTAAGTAGTCATTTCAGCCATATATTGTATCACAGTTTGTTCATTCTAACCCTCAGGTTTGAGTGTACTCAGAGGGAACTGAAAAGAGTATTAGAATAACTAATGCAGCTACTCTGCCCATAAGGATGTGTGGAGATGTGCTTTTCCTCTACAGTTTTAATCCTCTGCTGAACTGTTCTTAAAATTTTGCCACTTTTCTGCAGATGGCTCAGAAGTTTAGTTTTTGTGCATGTCTGAAGTGTTTACGTGCACATTGTGCTTATTTTGTTTTTCATATCATTTTCTCAGCATCACTCAGAATCAGGAGATATGGGGTAAATCACAATACAAAGACAATGACTTTGGCTGATATCTGCTGATGTGGGACCTTTTTCATTTTGTTTAAGCACACACAGTCTTTTGAGCAATGTATTTCCCTACTTACAGATTTATTCTAGGCCTTATGTAGTGAATGTAGACAAAATCTGTACTGGTACTGTGCTTCTGAATATTTTACAACTGTTAGTACTGTGAAGTAAAATTGCTATTTTTTTTATTTTAATTCTGGAAGGTGGTAATGAAGAGATTAAATAAGTTGTTTAAGGCCCAAAACAGCTTGCTCGATATGACAAATGTCAACTAGGACTAGAAAGTATCTTTTGGAAGCTTGCTTAATTTGTGTGCATTCCGCTCTTGGAGATTACACTGGAAGCTCAATGAGTTGGGGGGGGTCATTGGGAGTAGGCATCCCATTCTATACCAACAAATTGCATCCAGCTACTTATAGTGGAGTAAAGATTTAGAACTGGGGAATAGTCTAGAGTGAGGGTTTGGAGAGGCTGATTTACTGCCCTGTGCAGTCCAGCACAGACCAAGAAGTTGCTGAGGCCAGTAATGGTACACAGCTCTCTGCTCAGTTCTGGTAAATATGAGCCCCTCTGCCTTTCTCATACACCTCACAAAGAAGAGAAAGACAAAGTTTGTGGTGTCCTCATATGGACCATATCATGCATATGAGATGGGCATGGCTCTGGAGCAGGCTGACAGGGAAAGCCTCTGAAAAAGGATGCTCAGTCTCTGCATGTGCTTTTGGCAATCAATTTGTGGCATCACTCCTGTTTCTGATGGGTAACTTCCAGCTCAGGAAAGCTATCACAATTAGTATTCTTAGTGGAAAGCATAGGGATTGATTTGGCCTGGAATATGAATTACTCTCCCTGGAGCTGACTCTCCAAGGCAATTTGAGGTGAGACTTTTTCCTCTTTCTCTGTTTTACTTGACAGACGTAAGTTAGAAGCACAGAAAAAGTGGCCATTCTCTGCCTATTCCAAAGTCAGAAGAGATCCCTATTTTAAGTTTTACTTTGGGGAAGCAAATATGTTTTTTATGGGAGTATATAAAAGCTGTGTATTTTCTGTCTTTTCTGTGTCTTTTGATGTGAGGCATCTTCTTTGTGTCTCTGCTTTGACTCTAGTCAGAGCTATGTTCCTGAACCTCCAGTGAGTCCTCTGGGTCATAGGGAAAGATACTCAGAGATGTTTGCAGTTTCAAAGCTTCTTCATGAGAGTTTTCTAGGGCAATGGCTACATGTGTCTTTTACTGAGCGGAATAACTTCAGCACTTATCACACAATAAATAATTATTTAAAGCAGAAGTGTTAATATATCTCTGCCCTTTAGGTATTAATGGCACAATGATAGTGTCTGCCATGTTGGTTGTTCTGTTAGTCTTTTTTTCCTCTGCAAACCCTGTCTGCAGGGTCTTCTAAGTTGTCCATAAAAATTTGCCTTTGGCTAAACTTTGCATATGGCATTTCAGCATGGAAATGAATTTGTGTCAGAGTAGGTCTAAAATTGGGTCAGTAATATTTAAGTTACATATGTGTGGAGAGGAAAAGGCAGCATCTGCTATCCCAGCACCAATGACTGCTCTGAGCATTGGGATGTCATTTCTCCATATGACAGGATTTTTTCCTGCAAAGCAGGAAGAAGCAGATTTTTAACAGTAGTTCATGTTGT